ATCTCCAGTAGAATTATCGATTTACTCGAGATCATTCAAGGGTCCAAATATCAGTTATAGAGATAGTTTATTGTTAAAGCTCGGTAAAATCCGCAAGCATACAGCAAGCAAGCACCGAGTGAGACAAAAATCAAAGTGTGTGCGTCTGTGGTAAAAATCCATATATATTTTTGAGTATCAATCCAGTGTAGATAAATTATTGATTATCTATGCGTCTCAACCAATGGGGGAATAGAATAGGGATTGGAGTGCAGACACACGCTCAATCATACTCATATGGAAATTAACATAGTGGGGTAGACAAATAATACATTAGTGGAATGGGCTTACTACAATCTACACTAGATTCAATCCTAGTGTCTATTCTACAGGACTTTAACACAACCCAGATCAAGAACACGTAGTTAGCCTGACCACAACGTAAATATATTTCCACACCAAAAACCCGACACAATCCAACAACAATGAACAATCAATAACAAGTGAGTCCTAATAATAATAAGGATAAGAGAATATATATCTCATCTGACACCTGTCAGACTATCTACATGCCTGACTAAGCAGACAGCCAATCATTATCATTCTCGCCCACAGATCAGTTTGTAAAGGTGAAGCAAAACTAGCTTAGCAGCATAAAAAGTTGTAAAACGATGTATTTGTGCCTTTTATTTGTATATTCTTTTTTTACTCATTCTAGTCGATCAGATTTCTCATGACTTAAAATCAGTTGGAACAACTGGACTAGATCTGGAAATTCGTCTACTTGTTCCATCAGCTGAAGAGGAAATGGCTTGTTTTAATCCTAACCGAACAAAAACATTCTATGATCACGCAACCAATCCTTACTTGAAACTGCATGGATTTCTTCTATATATAATCAATCGGTAAGCGAATGTTCTTTTTTTGTAATTATTTCTGTTGTTTGTTACCGCCTCCAGTTTTCCACGCCCTGTGTCCCTCGATTCATCACTTTCCCGTTTGCCTTTACAATTTCAATTTAGGGTTTTTCTCGTGATTCAGTTTAATGAATTCCACAGTGTGTCCTACCCACCCAACGCCTTTTCTTAATTTCCTTAACTGGAAGTCGGTCTATTCTCAATCAGAGTATGTTATTGCCGATAGTCTCTAGCCAATGGATCCGGAGTATCTTGCGTAGACACCTGTTTATAAACATCTGTACCTTATTATGGTGGTTATGGTAGTTCTCCAAGTCTCAGCTCTTTACGATGCAAAACTGCTTTGACGTTAGTGTTGAGAATCGTGACTTTGGTGTTGAGTGACAGTTGTTTTGAGTTCCAGATATTCTTCAGTTGTAGCAATGCTACCCTTGGTTTGTTGATTAGTGCTCTCACGTCCGAACCGGATCCTCCTTGTTTATCGATGTTGCTGTCTAGGTAGTGGGGGTTTCTACTTCTTCCAGAGCTTCGCCATCAAGTGTGATTTGGTTGGTGCTCACTGTTTTGCGTTCCATGATCTTTCTTTTTCTCTTGTGAATGTTGAGGTCTATTTCTGTGGAAGCGGCTAGTACACTGGATATCTTCGTCTGCGTTTGTTTTCGTGCATGCAATTGGGGGTCTGAGTCATCTCCAAAGTCCATATCGTCCAGTTGTGTTCACCGTATTCCATGCTCCTCCTTAGATATAGTGGTCCTCATCATCCAGTCGACAGATAACAGCAAGAAAATGGACGGGAATTTGGAGTCTTTTTTGACACTGGTCCTCACTTGGAACGCGTCTGAGTTGACGTCCATGAACAATTGTTCGTTTCCTCACAAAACCCAGTTTGTTTGTCTCTAGTTTGAACGTTACGCAGTATTTCATTCAGTTCAATCACACTGTTGAAGACTTTGCTTAGTACTGACAGTAGAGTAATGCCTCTTTCGTTCTCACGCTTACTAAGATTTTTCCTCGGTGTTGGCAAAGCATTTATTCAGGAGCTCTTGTTTTTTGTTGACTGATCTTTTGACATACCATATTTCTCTGCTAGCTAGTTGGATGTATATTCTATCCATATGATTATACTTTGACGTGGGTATCTATGTATTTCTATTTTGGTTATTGACTCGACTTTTTTTATTGTACTAAATGAAAGTTGTCTTGTATTTTCTCCTAACAACAGGTTTCAATCGAATCGAGATTTCGATCTTGCTTGCGCTTGTTTGGAAACTTTGTTGCAACAGCATAGTGATATTTTATTCCGACATAGTCATATACAGAACAATTTGTACAATCAACAACTGGATGAAATAAATGAAAAGTATCTACAGATAGTGATAAAAGATCAAATGAAATATGATTCGATATCTCCCTATTTCGTTACATTAATTTTAGTTAACCGAGCAATAAAGACTAAAAGAAAAGCACAAATGTAGGGTCCTACTTAATGATAGTCAAGCTAAGTGTATATCTCAGGACCAACTAGAAAAACAGTTAGATAGTTATGTAAATGATGCCCATCCCGAGACAGCATGGAATGACATCCGAAAAGCTGTAGAAACAGCATTGATGTCTGCAAGTACGGTAAACCATAAAGTTAGGCAGAAACAATGGATCTCAGCAGAGTCTACCGCACTGATAGATGATCGAAAACTCATTCCATCTGGCTTTGAACATAACGAAGAGCAGAGTCAGCTTGAGCGTAAGCTGACTAGAAGCCTACGCAATGATCGTGAACAGTGGTGGGTAGCGAAAGCAAGAGAGATGGAAAAGGCAGCGGCAATAGGTAACAGCAGGCAACTGATCAGACTTGTTAAGGAAACCGGTATTAGGAACCCAACTGTTAGCGAAACAATCTCAGAGAAAGATGGACATATTATTCATTCTCAATCCAGGAGATTGGACCGATGGGCAGAACACTTTAGGGACCAGTCCAACTGGCCTTCAGCCACACTTCGGTTTCCAATCTACCTGAATGGCAAATTAATGTAAGTCCTTCGACTCTTTACGAAGTTGAAAATGCTATAGGAAATCTGAAGCGTGGGAGAGCAGCAGGCCCTGACAGGTTTGCCTCTGAGATTTTCAAGGATGGCGGTCCAGTATTAGCAGCGAGATTGACTGAGGTCTTAGGTAGAATCTGGGAACTGGACGTAATCCCATCTGACTGGTCTCAATCACTGATTGTGCCAGTCTATAAGAAAGGACAAAAGTCTTCTTGTGACAATCACAGAGGTATTAGTTTGACTAATATAGTGTCTAAAATATTAGCTTCAATAATACTTCGACGTCTAACCAAAGCTCGTGAAGAGCAGACTAGAGAAAACCAGGCTGGTTTTCGACCTGGACGTGGTTGTATAGATCAAATATTCACACTACGTCAGGTCCTAGAACATAGACACACATTCAGACGCCCCACAATGATAGTATTTCTCGACCTTAAGGCGGCATTCGACTCTGTTGATCGTGAGGTTCTATGGCAGTGTTTGTCACTGAAAGGAGTACCAAAGAAGTACATTAACCTTATAAAGGTTCTCTACTCGAACACAACTGGTAGAGTGAGAGCTTATGGCGAACTGTCATCAGAACTGATTACCTCAAGTGGTGTTCGTCTAACCCACAAGGCAGTGGAGCATCGTGAGGAGATGCAGTCCCATGGTAGCCGGTGACCGACGATTGGTTCATACACTATTCGTCCCTTCAGGATACATGAGCCCATGTGCACCATTGATTTGAGATCCGGTTAAAGCGCTGGACATTCGCTTTTCGTCCTCTCATTTCCGTAGACAACACCCTCGCCACTAGAAGGCAGAGAGTAGGACTTCCCTGGCAGAGGCTGTATACGCATGGCCATGTGAGAGTATTTCGAGAGGGAGGGCGAACCCACCCCGCTCTCGGCCATACCGGTCGATACCACGCTTGCATTCGGTAATAATTAATGCATAGAATCACAAGTCACCAACAATATCCTAGACGATTTATATGATAGGCTTTAGACGTATTTAAAGATTAGTTATAGCTGTTATGAACAAAGGTGATTGAAAAGAAAAAAAATATTACTCATTTTTTGATCAAAGGGAGTTTATTGTGAACGTTCCATTGTCTCATCAGTAGATATTTCAATAAGTCCTGAGTGATCAGTGTTTCCCCGTGACTGACTAGCTATTTGGTTGAGACTCTAATTTATGGACGATTTCTAAGTGACCTTGAGAATATAAGCCAATCAGCAGACAGCAAGTATTGAGTAAAAATATATTATACAAAACCAAGGACATAAAGTGGATACACTTCATATGCGTGGTTTAAAAACTTGTCAAGTTTTGAAAGACGTTCAGAAGTCCTAAAATCGTAATGCATGCAGTAGAGCAAATCATCCATACGGCTACAGAATGGTCGGCCTCTGTAGCCATGATAAAGCCTCAAAAACTCTTTCAGCCTCGACCACATAGTTTCAATATTGTTTATGTGCACTTCGGTTTTTGAGGACACAAAATGCTGCTTGTGGATAACGACATGATGCACATAACCAAGCCTATGTGAGAGTCTGTACACTCTCTAATGATCCGTATACATTGTAGTACCTGGCTGCAACCAGTGTTACTGGTGCTTTTATTATCCAGTTCGCGATAATTGTCATAATTTGTCTTAGTTAGCAATTATATATGTGGTTTTCATCACGAACTGACATCAGCTATAATGCCAGAAATTTATTTAGCCAAATAGATGGAAGGCTTTCGCGTTAAAATCCGAGATCTGTTATCTTATACCTGATTGATTTGCCCACAAATTACGGTCTCGCCGTTTCATTTGTTATAGCCGCTCAATTATCACGTTTTGTACAAAATTCCTTGTGAACCCATAGCACTAAGAACTGAAGTTGGTGCCGTAACCTTGAAATCCTTCAAACGCTTCTGATTGGCTCGTCCATAAATTAGAGTCTCGTCGCTATTTCTTCTGTTAACCTACAATTCGGTTGATTTTTGTCCATAGATGTGACCGTTGTTTGCATATTTGTTTACACCTCTGACCTTGGATTTGTTCGTCTTTTTTGTTAGTTGATAAACCGAGCCAATTTCAATGTTTATTGATTGGTGAATTACCAGTGTCATGACAGGTCAATAAAAAGTAAAATAAACAAAGCTGCACATTTGGATGGTATAAAAGAAACATGAATATTATCAAACCTATCGAAAGGACTAATTGCTTTAAGTCTGCAAATGATAAATCTATTGTGAGTTGATTTGTTTCTAGATAATATACAAACAATTATTCTAGATGGGTTGTAGGATACAGAAAAGACATAATACATTTAATTGAATATACAAGTATATGACACAATGTTTAGGGGAAGTTAGATTTAACTTCCTCCCAAACTAACTAACAAAACAAACAGAATTGTTATACTCCCCGCGTAGAAAGTGCGTGAATGATTGAATCAAGTCACCATACACAAGCAAAAATGAATGTGACAATGACGTTATAAAAACAGACCACTTGAAAATTAAACGTCTTAATAAAATGCAGATGTAGTGTGTTACAAAAAACAGTAATTGTCTACGTTTTTTATGTGAAACACAAGTGAAGAGTCAAAATATTGATAGGTCACGAAAAGTCTCAGTCAGGAGTTTCATTTTCAGACTCCGATGGCGTATCCAACCCAAGAGGGTTTTTTCCAGATATTTCATGAGGATCATATTGGTACAGTTGAGATGCTTCTTCATCATCTGTAGGAGTTTTGGATGATATACTTGGAGTAATACCTGGTGAACCTGCGTTTTGTTTTATGCTAGAAGTAACTGTACGTTGAGGTGCTAAGTTAGAGTCTTCATCGTAAATTTGTACACCAATACAGTCAGGTGTGAGTTGTCTTTTCATTGAACGACTTGTTGAGTGCAGTGTATTTTTTGATATTCGATCTGAGTAAGACAATGTTTCCTCGCCTTCGCGTTCTTTACCTTGGTTTTCAAGTACTGGAGGCTTGGAAACTCGTTTTGCTAAGCCCAAACTAAGCGGTGAATCTGGATTGAATAAAGTTGTCGAAGACAAAGAATTCCGGTTTGCAATTCTTGAGAGATTGTTATTAATTTTACGACGTTTAATATTATGACTAATAATTGCCTTCTCTTTTTGTAACTGACGTATTGTAGCCTGGAAAGAACGAAGACAAAGCACGGTCAAATACTGAGTGAAAAAATTAGAATTATGTTTAAAATTGGTAGTTTTCGATTCTTCTTTACGAAGTTCTCCAGAGACAAGGGAAAAAGCCGAAAGTGCTTCAACTAACTAGCGCTTATTGGAAACTTCCCAGAAAAATCTGGGAATCAGCTAATCGTTCTTTCCTTATTCTGATTAGATAATTACTAAGTTGTTTTGCTAAATTCGTTTTGTTTTCAGAAACTTTTAATATCTAAAAATTGTTCACAACCCTATACAAACTCATGTTTTCTGTTCACAACTTAACGATCGAAGTGATGTGAACCGGGAAACAAGAAGCCCTGAAAAACTACGAAAGCTATTTTCCGGGACGTTATTTCATTTTATTCAAAGCTTGTAAAACACTACATTTATTTTTGTCCCTAATCTATTCTGCAGAACATAAGCTTTCGTTTGATGTATCATTCACTGCCATACCTTTTTCCGTTCCGAAGCTATTGTAATTTAAACATATTATTTTGCACCCTATTTTCTACTCTAATTCCCAGCTTTGGACATAATTGTATTTTTCCTAATTATTGTACGTTGCGGTCGGGTTATTCACCTATTTATTCATGTACCTTTTTACACTAATTGTTGAAGTCAGGAATAGATCGAGTAGTGTTCCAATTGTCTTTTCTCATTCGTGTGCTTGCCCACCAATCAGGTGACAGAATAGTTTTTCTTCTCTCTGCCCCATCTCGAACTCACGCGTACAAGTCTCAAGGTTAAGCCGATCAGCCTATCGCATCAAGGTCTAAATCTAGATTAGACAAGTAGCCTCGGCACCAAAAGTTGGTAGACAAACCAAGGTCATAACACGAAGTAAGGCTTCTGCACTTTATGTTTACAGTTAGACAGAGCAAGATTTTCGGGGACTAGGAAGCAAGTATCCATGACGTTCAAAACACAACAAAACTTATTATTAATGTGTAAATATTTCAAAAAAATCGCGAATAAAAAGCTTATAATCATTTCAAACTATAAACAATTGACTGAATAGAAAACAAACGGATTGATTCTCTTTTAGTCTGACTGCTTCATCACATGGATCAGAAGTTTGATTGGTAAAAAATATGTTTGAGAAAATCAATGCATTACACAGTTGAGAAGAAAACAGACTTACTAGCAGCCGATCTTGTTCAAGTTGTGCAGCTGATTTTATTTTTCGGACACGATCTTCATTCATTGATTTTATTTCAATCATTTCAGAGCGTAGCTCTGCTATTGTACGATCTTTGGTTAACAAGTCAGAGTCTTTAAGTGTTAATTGACGTTGAAGTGATTTGATCTCATCTTGTAACTGGCTTATAGTAAGTAGGTGTTCATTGTACACAGAATCTAAGCTAAATCAATGAAAATAGAGTTAAGTAAATGTGGAAATATGAATAATACCTATTAATATCAAGAGGGGGATTAAGCTACCTAGGATAGACATGGTATTCAGATTTTAATATCATACAGAAACTTAATTTGTAACCTGACTGATAAGTCTTCGAATTGAATGCTAGATTCGGTACCTAAGCTCTTCTAGTAATCCACAGGCTAAATCTAAACAGCGACTTAAAACAAGAGAAAAGGCGCGAAATATGGAATAAACGCTTTATTCCAAGGTTTGTCTATGTATAAAAAATCTAGGGTATTTATAGCATTTTAGATTGCCTTGGGTTTCCGGAAAAGTCTGGGACGCTACTAAACATAGTAGCGGTATAGAAACGCGACGCGTGACTTCTCACTTTCCAGATGTTTGCGCTACTATGTCACATAGTTCTGATAATCTTCGTATTCGTATTACACTATTGAAATTTATTAAAGGGACTAATTACTTCATCTTATGTTTTTATGGATATGGTTATAATGCAGATTCAAATAAATGAAAAATTGACATTAGAATCAAATTATCTTTGAAGATGTTTAAGTTGGCAAGTATTGGTATGACTCCAGGCAACAAAATGAACGTAAACTTACAAGTGTGTGAGTTGGTATTTTTCCTTTTGTATTTCCTAATAACCATCATATTTACATGAATGAAATCTTTTTGCACAGTTTGAATCACCGGTATTCCCTGACTAAATGTACTGGAGCAGGATAAAACCACACAAGAGCAGGAGCAACAAATAATGTAGACACACGGGATGTCCGGACAATGTAGGGAAGCGGGAGAGGAATTTAAACAGCGGAAGAGGAAGCTTGGAAGGGCTTAAACCTATTCGACAAAAACCGGACAGAAAAGACTAGCTTCGGGAGATATGCTGTTATATTCTAGTCATCAAGAATAAAATGGTCTGCACACATAAGGAGCTGCACTGGTGCTCTTCAAGGAAGCACAAAAAGCGCTTATAGGATGGAAACCTCATGGCTCTAGGATCACTAAAGCATTCTTTAAAATAAAAGAAGGGATTGCAATGAATGTCATTTAGTGTAACGCATCTACCAATGATAGCAGCGAAAATAAAGATCAGTTTTATGGGAGGCTGCAGTCCGTCGAAGAGGATTGCTAAGGAAAATACCTGACTATCCTGATAGGGAATTTGACGTCCTGTGATGGACAACACAGGATAGGAAAGCGTTATGGGGCAACACGGACTGCGAAGATGGAACGAGCAGTGAGACTTGAGGATTTATATGCTTCTAACAATATGGTTATGGGCAGCGGCATTTTGCCTCTCGACTATATACATCGAGCTAGATGTGTTCCACCGGACGACACTGATGAGAACCAGATCGATTAAACCTGCATCAAGAAGCCAATAGAAGACGCAACAACAAAGAAACGAGCTCGTATAGCTGCAGACTACTATCTGGTAGTGGCTGAACTAAAACTAAGGCAAAGGAGGTATTGGACAGTTGGACAACCAGCACTACAAAAAGTCAATAAAACTTTTTTTGACATACTAACAAATTCAGTGAATTCAAGATAGCTCACAGTAAGTAGTTCCAGGCCTTACAAGGCCTACTAGAACAAGTGGAAACCGTTGTGTAGGACTGGAAAATGATCTAATACGCAATAACTTCCACATACTAGGAGGTGGTGGGTAGCAAAAATCATCGGCATAAAGAATTTATTTCTGTAAACAGCTTGATAAAGGTTTAAGAGATGGAAAAAGGGAGACAGCAGTCAATGCAGAATGAGATGATTGTCACCATCATATGGAACGCTCACGAAGGATTGAACTGCAAAGCTGCGTGTGGAGGACAGCTCCAAGACGTATTTCAAGTGAGGACCAGTGTCAAAAAAGACTCCATATTCCCGTCCATTTTCTTGCTGTTATCTGTCGACTGGATGATGAGGACCACTATATCTAAGGAGGAGCATGGAATACGGTGAACACAACTGGACGATATGGACTTTGGAGATGACTCAGACCCCCAATTGCATGCACGAAAACAAACGCAGACGAAGATATCCAGTGCACTAGCCGCTTCCACAGAAATAGACCTCAACATTCACAAGAGAAAAAGAAAGATCATGGAACGCAAAACAGTGAGCACCAACCAAATCACACTTGATGGCGAAGCTCTGGAAGAAGTAGAAACCCCCACTACCTAGACAGCAACATCGATAAACAAGGAGGATCCGGTTCGGACGTGAGAGCACTAATCAACAAACCAAGGGTAGCATTGCTACAACTGAAGAATATCTGGAACTCAAAACAACTGTCACTCAACACCAAAGTCACGATTCTCAACACTAACGTCAAAGCAGTTTTGCATCGTAAAGAGCTGAGACTTGGAGAACTACCATAACCACCATAATAAGGTACAGATGTTTATAAACAGGTGTCTACGCAAGATACTCCGGATCCATTGGCTAGAGACTATCGGCAATAACATACTCTGATTGAGAATAGACCGACTTCCAGTTAAGGAAATTAAGAAAAGGCGTTGGGTGGGTAGGACACACTGTGGAATTCATTAAACTGAATCACGAGAAAAACCCTAAATTGAAATTGTAAAGGCAAACGGGAAAGTGATGAATCGAGGGACACAGGGCGTGGAAAACTGGAGGCGGATGTCGAGTATAGGAAACTTGGAAAGGAGATTCTAAGACAGTATTGCCTAGAGATCTCTGGTCGGGGGTTTGAATCCCACTTAACCTACTTCGGTTTCGGTAACCGAATAGTAAATTATTAGCACAGCTCATTGCTAATTACCAGGCAAATGAGTTAGTGAGAGGAATAGACAGCATAGTTTAGAAGAAATATAATCGTTGATGAGTCGAAAAAAAGCTCACTGAATGATCCGACCGTATTCATACAATCCTCAAGGACGTTTTAGTCTAAATAGTGCATTTACCTCTAACGAAAAAGTATTTTACAGCATATGGTTCTTCAAATTTACGTATTATAACTGTATTACTTGTGAGGAACTAGACTTTATTACCTTGTATTTTATCAATTGTAAACTATTTTCTTATTTTAATTCACTTGATATTGTTTTTTTTATTTGTTTGAATCTTCCCATTGATGTGGCTATCAGGACTCAGTAGCTAAGTGGATAACGCGATGGCGTTTGAAGCGGACGGTACTGGGTTCGAGTCCCGGAGTGAACATCAACTCTGAGATGCAGGTACATCCAGCTGACCAGTCCCAAATAGGACGAGACGCGCGTCAAACTGGAGTCCACTGCTAGCCACTATCCATCTTTGCTTATAATGCTTGTAAATTAAGGCAATATCGAGGCATACGCACAGTATGCACATATGCCAATAACAGACTGAACAATTTCAGTCCTAAATATTTTCTTATTGGTTAACACTCTTATCTGTTCAGCCATACATCTGTTCCAGTATGCGTTGAGATTAATTGTTATTGATGAGTTAATTACCTTGAATCAGTTTAACATAAACTAACAATTATTTGTTGTAGAACCCCTTATTATTCATTTATTTTCATATATAAATATTTCGAGAAACCAAAATACTCTTTTAAATACATTCAAACTCAGGTGCGTTGTCCTGGTACGTCTGACAGCATTAGCGCCTATAGAGAACTGCTTAGTTTTTAACCAACTCATAAGTCACCCGCATCTCATATGACCACACAATTACCGTTTGCATATGCACATAAATCCTACTCAATGACCTATTACTTACCTTAGTGCTTGAGTAGTTAAAGCCTGTTGTACATGCATCTGCGTGTTAATTTGCTTTGTTCCAAACCCATCGGTATAAGTCTTTTTAAGAGAGCTAAAATTCAAAAGTTTATGTAGATACAGCTTTTTCATTTGTCCAGAAAACGAAATATGGGTACTAAGATTCTAACCTTTTATTTTAAAGAACTAAGGAATATTATTTTTAAAAGTCCCCGTGAGTCATCAAATAAGTACTCTAACAGACATAGAAACACTGAACCCGATATGACACGATCTCACGGAGTGAGACACAATAAATCCGAAATTCTCCACACGGGTCCGAAGACCACTCATTGATGTTGTAGACTGGAGCTGCTTTTGTCTGGTCAGCATCGGTCCTTGATTCACTTCCATCTTAGCCGGCAAAACTTGCTGTACTACATAGTAACTGGGCAAGCACCAAATGCTCTGACAATCTATAAAGAGGGAATATTGTTTCAGAGACAATCATGAATATTTGTGACTTACGGATATCTGCCTTGGGTAAAAATCCCTACCAGTCAAAGAGCATTGTGAGGACTTCATAAAATATTCGTCTTATATTGGGTATTTAGATATCTCTCCTGTGTCATTACTGGCATAAAGTGATAAAAGCAGGATGAGCATTTTGTGCTTTCTTTGATATCATCTACCACCAACTCACCACAGTTAATTAAACTCTTAAAGTGGAGTGACCAAAGGACTCCGTTGCTTCACCATACTTCCACAAACTGAGAATTAAAGTAGAGCACTTCTGAGGTAACACTCTGGACGCAGTGGATGAGAGATATTCTGGGAATTCTTGTGCTGTCAATAAAGTTATATGAAAGACTGCATTTTATCAGCCCCCTCCCCTAGTAAAACCGTTTTTAAAACAACCTTTCCATTGAAGTTTCTATAGTTTATTAAAGCAAGGATAAACATATATATGAACTAAAACATAATCCAAGCTTAATTATTCCGATAAAAGCAACAGTATTTAGCCACTAACCTTTAGTAGTGATTGATGTGTCTACAGTTGGTATGATGTTAGTAGTTGTTAGGTCAGAAAGTATTTAAGCCTACAGTATTTGTTTGATGTAAGTAGATAACTAAGCACAAGATCAATGACCGGGGATCATTGAAATTCTAAAAACATCGCCTCTTTCATTTTGCTTGGCTCAAATTTTTGACCTTGAAACGAAATTTGCCTGTTACAATGGGCTATTCAGTCAACCAGTCATAGGCAACCGTGAATTATTCATGAAAATAGGAAATGAATCAAGAGACAATTCACTGCTACATATTTCTTTACCGGTTTCTATAAGAGCTCGAGATTGACATTATTTATTGATTTGATGTTCAGAGCTTTGTAAAATACCATTGAAATCAACCAGGGACCTGAGCTCTAGCACTTTACTTATATGGTGAGGGGAAAAAGAAAGTGGTCGACTTACTTATGACTTGATCTCGAACGGTTTGCAGTTGAAAGCTGATAACCATCATGTCGACGTTTGTTGAATCCATGAATAGAGCGTTCTCTAGATCGAGCTAATTTAAAATTGTATGTACACACCCAACAAAGAATCTGTCCATCAACTTTCTCTCGGCTGGCCTATACAAATTAACAAGGACAAAATATACGAATTGGAAAATTGTCTCAACAGTAACTTTAGTGAAGAATGATGCTTCGGAGAATATCGGAAAACAAAAACGTCAAGTCACAATGAACACAAAATAATTAGTAAGTTTAGCTAACAACAATGAGTATAGGCATAGGTTTATCAGTCAGTCAGTTGCAACGTAGGACCAGGCACGTATATGCATCGGTCCAAGTTGACATACCGCATTAGCACAACAAGATGAACACCGGATTCATAGAAGTAGTTAATTCAGTGGTGGTAATATATATAAGAAAGAGTGTGTATAAGGAGACAGTACAGGAAGATAGAATTAGTTCCTAGAAAGAAAGATTTGAAGTGAAGTTTAAAAGAACACAGAGAGTGTATACAACGATGCCATTGTGATCGATTCTGAGCCATGTCACCAAGAGTCTCTAACCTTTCGTTACGATAGTCAAGCGGACCCCAACCAGGTAGTCTGCATCTACCAACATGGCTCAGACCAGAAGTTAGTGACTTCAAGCACTGATGCCACGTTTTAGTTTGGCCGCCCCTAACTTTCTTCCAACCATCCCCAACACCGGTTAGCATTGCGCGTCGTGGTAATCGGTGTTCAGGCATACGCAGCACGTGGCCCAACCATCTCAGTCGATGAAGGTTCATAACATTATCAACTGATTTACCATCATTCCCTAATACCCTGCGTCTAACCTCACTATTACTTACCCGTTGATCCCAGCACATACCCGCAGTATTTCTAAGGCACCTGTGGTCAAATACTAGTAACTTACGAATATCCTCTACTCTTAAAGGCCATGTTTCGCAGCCGTATAGTATAACGGAACGAACTGCCGCGCAGTATACTCGTCCCTTAATTGATAGACGGATATCTCGCCTTCGCCATAGGTGACGTAAGTTGGCAAAGGCCAAACTAGCTTTCTAAATCCGTGCTGAGATTTCGTCAGACACCAACCCATTAGGGCTGATCAGACTTCCAAGATAAGTGAAGTTGTCAACGCGTTCGACTACTTCACCCCCTATCCTTAGTTCAGGTGTTGACGCAGACCAGTCCTGAAGCAACAACTTGCATTTGGAGGGAGAGAAGCGCATCCCAAACATCTCGGCATTGTTGTTCAGTGCTACCAAAAGACTTTGCATTTTATCAGCGTCTTCACCAAACAGGACTATGTCATCTGAGTATTATAAGTCGATAAGTGGACCTCCTGGTAGGAGATCAATACCCGAGAATTTAGTCGACGAGAATCTTATTTCTATCAGGAGGTCTATGATGAAGTTAAACAAAAATCGAGAAAGTGGACAGTATTGACGGACACCGCTTGAGGTTGCAAAAGCAGATGACAGTTCGCCATAAGCTGTGACTCGACTAGTAGTGTTCCAGTAATGAGCCTTCACAAGGTTTATGTACTTCTGAGGTACGCCTTTCAATGACAGACACTGCCACAGAACCTCTCGGTCTACAGAGTCAAATGCTGCTTTTAAATCAAGGAAGACCACTATTGTCGGACGCCGATAAGTATGCCTGTGTTATAGAACCTGACGAATGGTGAATTTGTGGTCGATGCATCCACGACCAGGTATGAAGCCAGCTTGATTCTCTCGTGTTTGCAGTTCACGAGTCTTAGTTAGGCGTCCAATAATTATCGAGGCTAGTATTCTAGATACTATATTAGTCAAACTTATCCCTCTATGGTTGTCACAGAATGATTTCGACCCTTTTTTATATATTGGGACGATAAGTGATTGTGACCAGTTAGATGGGATAACGTCTAACTCCCAGATTTTAGCCAAAATATTAGTCAACCTAATCGCTAAAATCGGACCACCATCCTGAAAGACCTCTGGAGCCAATCCATCTGGACCAGCTGCCCTTTCTCGTTTTAGATTAACTATAGCCTTTTGAACTTCAGCTAGAGTTGGAGGACCTACTTCAATGTTCCATTCACGCTGTCTGGGAATGGTGGGTAGTTGTAGAGTAGCTGAAGGCCAGCTGAACTACCCCTTAAAGTGTTCCGCCCATCGTTCTAAACGTCTGGACTGGGAGCAGATGAGAGTGTCGTCTGACTTACACTTGATTTATTAATTCCAGTTTCTTTTATTAGTCTGTAGAGTTGTCTTGTGTTCCCTATAGCTGCCGTCTTTTCCATCTCTTTTGCTTTCGTTGCCCACCACTGCTCACGGTCGTTCCTTAGACTTTTGCTTAACCTAGATCTGATTTGTTTACGCTTTTCATCGTGTTCAGAACCTGATGGGATGAGTTTACGAGAATCCATCAGTGCAATGGACCTCGAAGAAATCCATTGGTTCTTTGTAACCCAGTGGTTTCAATCACTAATACATGTCACTGCTGTTTCCACAGCTGCTTGTATGTCTTTCCAATCAACATCGGGGTCAGCCTCGTTTTCAGAACTACCTAAGTGTGACCTCAGTTGTTCTTGGAACCTACGTTTGGTTTTCTCGTTAATCAGTTCAGTTCTAATGGGTCTTTTTAATGTGGCTTTTTTGCGTCCAGTGAGGCGCAAGCAGATGCGTGCTCGTATTAGGGCATGGTCGGAGTCCAAGCAGGTACTCCAGAATGAGCGACAATCTTCTATTGACCCTCTGAAACGATGACTGATGGCAATATGGTCTATTTGAGTCCATCGTTGGTTTGGTGCAGGGGGTCGCCATGTTAGACGGTGTCTCTCCTTATGCTTAAAATTTGTGTTTGCTAGAAATAAGCGATTGTCTGAGCACAGTTGCAGCAGACTACCACCATTATCCGTTCGCTGTGCCGGAATACTAAAATACCCACCTAAATGCCTTCGTGTTTGGTTTAAACTACCTATCTGGGCATTAAAGTCGCCTGCTATGAGTACTATGTCTGATCGTTTAGCTTCCTGAAATTCAGAGAGCTTTCTGTAAAATCCATAAAGACACAACAGTATGTACTAACAGTAGGCCATACTATGGTGAACTCTGAATTAATTTAATAATCTCCACAACTCCATACTGATAATTATAATCTGCTAAGTCTCGGAGTTCTAATAAGGAGTCGTGACCGGTGGAGCTAACCCGTGTTAGGTAGAGATAGTTGGACATTAACAGCATTGGATGCCGGCTCAGTGGTTTAGAGGTTAGGTGTTCGATTGTCTGAGCACAGTTGCAGCAGACGACCACCATTATCTGTTCTCTGTGCCGGAATATTAAAATACCCACCTAAATGTCTTTCTGTTTCGTTTAAGCTACCTACCTTGGCATTAAAGTCGCCTGCTACGAGTACTATGTCTGAACGTTTATCTTTCTGAAGAAGTTCAGACAGCTTTCTGTAAAATTCATCTTTCGCTTTATTCGAACTGCAGTCAGTGGGAGCGTAGGCAGAAACGACGAAAAGGCAACGACGTGTGTCCCTATCCTTTCGAGTTCTCACGGAACCGTTTAGCCGAACAGCGCATAGACGACTATTAACGGGGATCCACTCTAATAGCGCTTGTTCCGCCCTCATGCTTAGTGCTATGCCTACACCTGCAAGTCCATGAGAACTAGCCATCGGGTCGCCAGATACACGGAAGGTGTATCTCGTCGCCACTCCGTTATGCCGAGGTGAGGTCAAGTGAATGACCACACTAGGATCCTGTATGCGTGTTTCGGAGACACAGCATACATCAATGGTACGAGATTCTAAGGTTTTAGCCAAGGAAGCCTGCTGACCGATTTGGCATAGTGTACGTACGTTGAAGGCTCCAATGTGTAGTTTGGAGCGAGGTTTCAGTAGACCTGGGACAGTGTTTTGCGCACTAGAATCGTTGGCTGTGGTGACACTTGAGGAGGAAGCCGAAAGAGGGAGTTTAGATTTTAAAGTCGATGTAAGAGGAATTGAAGAGGTAGGTTGATTATGAATACAGTGGTCTTGAGTGCTGTTAGAGGTATGAGGGCGGTTATTACTTCCCAGTTGCCCACACCGTGGAAGGGTTCTGCTGGAGGTACCTGAAAAGGAAATTGGATTAGAGGTGGTCATAGTGACCTGAGAGCGTGACCGCAGTGCCCAAAGGACAGCTGCTTGAGGTCGGTCACACACGACCTTTTTATGAGTAATTTTTGTGTTAGCTCCGTACTTGTTGATACCTTACCGCCGGAGACGGATATCCGTGGAATAAGGCGAGGTGTGCATTTTTTGGGTCGACCTTTTCTAACCCCACCCCTCCTTTTAGGAAGGCAGCATCGCTGTTATGCTGGTTGTCTGAAGGAAACACCTTACTGCTGTCACACCTCTGTACAGTCAGCAGTACGACTTCGCCTTCGGACCTTGGTTTTGTTGCTTTTAGTCTTACCGCTCTTCAACCGACCTGTCTGGCATGGTAGGACCTTGAGGAACGGTTGTTCCAGCCAGTATATCTCAGTTGCTTCATCACGATAGGCAAGTCCGACCACCACGTCAAGGTAGCAACAACGGTCAGGTTTATCAACTAGATACTGACTTCATATTAACGAAAAAAGCTAATTTACCCACAAAACAGTGTGTTAATACCTTTTTATCGAAGTAGATAGTTGAATTGTTTAGATGTACTTATTGCAATAACACGATAAAAATTTTCAGTTTGAAATCTTGGTGAAATACGTGCAAGCGCAGTGACTACTCACAAAATTATTTTAATCCGGAAACTAATCATTTACTCTTACATTTTGCACCGAAATAAAAATGCGAATTAACTTATTAGTAAACGCACCACAATGATAAGTAGCGAACCAGGAACTACTTTTCCAAGTCGAAACAATGGTAATAGAATCATCTCACGTTATTCATCTTCAAAAGACTCACATCCTAATCTTGGGATATATCAATCTTCGTAAAGTTCACATAACTGAACACACGTACAATGGAAGTGAAAACACTATTGAAGCCGGGTCCTTTGATCTGATTGAAGAGTTGAGATTAGTTTAAAGTGTGAAGTTAGCAACTCTGTGGAGAAACAACAAGACGACGTCACGTTTAGACCGGATCTTCACAAAGAATTACTAAATGACAATCTCTCAATCCTGACTCCGCTGGGAAGAAGCGATCACGCTATTATAGCCTTCAATTTTACTAGCAAAATGGAACTCGAACATCCTATTGACGACAGGAGTTGAAATTTTAAGCGGATGGATCTGTTAGCCTTAAAGGACAATCTACACCATAAGGATTCGGTTGCCTCTCCTTAACTTGATTTGGACATTCACATGTGCTTCTTGCTGCGCACGATCTTACGTTATACAAGCCATTCTGTCACACAAACGGTCCCCAGAAGTTACAAGCAACCTACAGTTATAAATAGTCGCACTCTTAGAGTGCTAAAACTTGAAAGGCACTACTGAGAGAAATAAAAACGGACTAGTGACGACATTAAATATAGGCAGTTCAAACAAGCAAGAAACTGATGCACAAGCACGATAACAGAATATAGGCTTTAGTATTAGATAAAGCTAATCGAAAAATTTGTCTGCAACCCGAAAAGCTTATTTCTTCAAGCAGCCTTTTTTCGACAAGCCAAAGTTTCCCAGTTGCTAAATCTTAATGGTCCAACCAAAAACGATGATGATCCCGCAGTGCTTTTCAGAACAGTATTTTCAAATATTTCAACCTTCACATGCAAATTACATTGACGAGAGCTTCACTTGGAACCTAAGAGGAGTCATAGAAGCGAGCGTAAGTGCTGGGACTCGTATGTCAGAAATCGAAGCGTCTAAACAAGGACAATATATTTTTGTGTGGATACATGAACATAAGGAAGGCAATCAAACAATGCAACCAAATGTTACGGAACATGTACCTAGATGGCTTTAAAACCAGTTAGTGTCAAATGTTCTGATAAACGTGAGAAGTAAAACAGCAGGTTCATCGATAGCAAAGCACAACTGAAACGGGGCATAGAATCGACATTAATATAGCTTTTAAAATATCATACAGAAATTACCAAGGACGAATTCTTAGACTTGCAGAAGCTTTGGTTACTTGCAAACTCAAGCACCCCTAAATGTGCACAGAAACGAATCGCCGTAGCCTTGAATTTGCCCTGGTAATCCCAAAGTTGTTTTATGGGCTAGGATAGTGGGACAAATTCCTATTCTTTCCATACTGTGCTAATTTTCTTTCTCTCCTATTTACATTTATCATTTTGTCGACTTGAACTCTCCTTTATTTGACCTTTATTAATTTTTACATAAAATGCCTTGAAAAGTATGTGTGTGACTAGACTGTTATAGAGCAAATAAATCACACTTTTCAAATCAATTTTGTCTTCTCAGTATTCTACCAATACTTAGACTTTTTCTGGACCGGACGTGGTTCACTCTGCTATACGGAGAAAAGCGGCCTCGATTTTGACAACACCGCTTAATGTGATCTCACATTCGTTAATCCAGGGCACGGCTACAGACAATTGGAAGCTGGAGAACATTAAACCAATTTTCAAAGGAGGCCATAGCAATGGGTCTTTAAGCTACTGGCTGGTAGCACCTCTCTTAATACCCTCAAGAAGTCCTTGATATACGAGGGTCTACGCGACTACTGATTATCTATAAACTTATTTTTACCACGGAAACACAGTTTCAGGAAGGGTCACTCTTGTATAATAAACCTGCTGACTGTGGTGGACAAATGAACAACCATCCTTGGTCGAAAAGGGGAGATTGATATGATATATCTTGACTTCTCAAAAGCCTTGACAGGGTCAATTATATATGACTCATCGATAAGCTCAAACTGTTAGGCGTCAAGTCACCATTGATAGACTGGTTTAATTAATATCAAAATGATCGACTTTTAAGGTCACAATGAAGTTTACGTTTCCCCAGGCTACAGAATGTCCTAGTGGGACCCTCCTGATCCTAATACTAGGACCTCATCCTTTTACTTCATATAAGTGGCCTTCCCCAGCAAGCATCGTATAACGACGTTAAACTTCGGAAAGAATTTTGCAATAAAGATGATAGTTTGGAGTTTCAGGAGGATATAAACCAACTTTCAAGCGCCTCAAATCACTGGACGTTTATCAATTTTTATTTATTTTAACACATAAGTATAGGTACAAGGATACACCAAGTACATATGCGCCACACGAATCTCAATTGATTTGTGTGAGGGCTGTGATACTGCTCGGGTGCCCGAACCGAAACAGGTGGTTTTCTTAGGGGGCCACACCCCGAGCCTTCGACCTGAACGTCTGACCCACAAGGCAGTGGAGCATCGTGAGGAGATGCAGTCCCATGGTAGCCGGTGACCAACGATTGGTTCATACGCCATTCGATCCTTCAGGATACTGGAGCCCATGTGCACCATTGGTTTGGGGTCCGGTTAAAGCGCCGGACATTCGCTTTTCGTCCTCTCATTTTTGTAAACAACACCCTCGCCACGAGAAGGCAGTGAGTAGAGTATAGGCTTCCCAGAGGTAGCCTTTCAATGACTTGCAGTATTCTAACCACTAATGAGCACCCTCCAAGACACTTACTTAAGCAGTCTCGATACAAATCTTATGGACGATATCCTCTATTTTGACCACAATCATTTAAACCATTTGAACATGAACCTGCTACTTTCTAATCTGAATGAGCATTATATTAACAAATAATATTGGAAAAATTTTAAATAGAGACTAAACCTTACCTCATCTTTTAAAAAGGCACACGTATTCCCACAGGAATGACACTGGCGTGGCTCACCGAATCTGTTTCTGTAGTGTAAGCACCTCTGACAAACCAAAGCACTGCCAAAAGCAGTTTTTAAATTGCATATGGAACAAGACTGAGGCTCGCCGTACTTGCTTTTGAGAGATTGACAGTGTGGGCAGATACCGCCGCAACTTAGGGAACCCCAAGAATAAACTGAGTTTCGGCAACTTACACATGGTATTTAAAGTCAGATTTGCAATATTCACATTGCTTGAATGTGGAGTGGTGAGGACTGCATCTCTAAATATTATGGCACTAGAACGGATAGTGAAATAGAAATACTTTGCAAGCTTGTCCAGACCTGGACATTTCAGACTGTGGGAAATTTTGCAGGCATTTTGTGCAAGAAAATAAAGGTTGATCCATTATGATTGCACTGAGGGTGTCGAGTTCGCTGTTGATGGTATGTGATCGATCAGAAACTCTAGTAATCGACTTTATAACTAATGCTTTATGATCTACAACACAACAAAACATGCAACTTACACCCAAAACCGAAATCAACGTTCAAATAAACGGAACGTCCAGAAGTTGCATCCTTCACATGTTCCCGCTATTCAATGGTTAAAATTTAAATGTTTCAAATGGTTGTGGACGGAATAGAAGAAGCTTTTGCTTAACAGGCTTCCGTGTCTAGTAGCAGGAGATCACCAATACCTCCAGGCAAGAACCTAGGTATATTGGTAGATCATAGTAAGATACTATCCTTAGTCCTAAAGAATAGATCAAGTCGCCTCTTAAAAAGGACTCCTGGGAAGGCGTTGGACTAGCTCGGCCGGCAGCGAATTCCAGCATTTGACAACTCTTAAGGAGTAGAAGTTGTCCCTGCAGTTCTTTCAACTATGTGGTATCTCTAATTTCTGGGTGTTACCCCTTAGTTTAGTGTTGGGACTAAGCTTAAGTAGGTGTTTAAGAGCATGTCCAGGAGTGTTAAGGATACTGTAAGCCATTAAAAGGTCACCTCTAAGACGCCCATACCCTAATGGGTAAAGGTCGAGTGATTGGAGGCGCTCATCGTAAGGTTTAAATTTGAGTCCCCGAGCTGATTTCGTGGCTCGCCATTGGATACGCTCCAGAATGTCCTTATCTTTTGGAGTGTAGGAAGGAATACTATGTTTCCGTACTCTAAATGGGGACGAATGAAACTATTGAAGATTATGTGGAATGTTCTCCAATCAAACTAACCAAAAATGCGCTTCAATGTTACCAGTGCAAGGTTTGCTCGAAAGGCATTTCTGTCACAGTTGGCGTAAGACTTTAAGTCGTAGGGCACCAGAACTCCTAAGTCTTTTTCGACTCGGGGTACTACTAAAGGGGAGTTTCCTAAGTTGTAACTGTAATCTGCGATGTGTCGCAGATGGACTACATTACACTTTGAAGTGTTAAAGGTAAGTCCGTTATCGTCTGCCCAACTTTGAAGTCGAGTCAGATCCTCCTGAAGTGCCTGTATATCCTCTTGGTTGCGTATCTCTCTCCAAAGTTTCACGTCATCGGCAAAGAGCAATAAGTCTGACGTTACCTCTTGAGGAAGATCATTTATATAAATCAGGAAGAGAAGAGGTCCTAGTACTGAGCCCTGGGGGACCCCACTAGGACATTCCGTAGCGTGTGAGAAATTGAAGTTTACCCTGAGCTTAAAATGTCGATTTGTCAGATATGAACTGAGCCAATCAATTAAAGGTGGTTTGATACCCAATTGTCTGAGCTTGTTGATAAGACATATGTGATTAACCCTATCAAAAGCTTTAGAGAAATCAAGGTAAATGATATCCACCTTCCCCTTGCGATCAACGATGCTTGTTCATCTGTCCACCGCCGTCAGCAGGTCCGTCATACAGGAGTAACCCTTTCTGAAACCATGCTGGTGGGGTGAGAAGAAATTTAAGGACAGCAGATAGTCGCGTATACCATCTTATATCAGGGACTCTATGATTTTTGAAGGTATAGAGAGAAGAGCCACCGGTTGGTAACTTCAGGGTTCGCCGTGTCGACCTCCTTTGAAGATTGGTGTGATATGAGCCAGCTTCCAATTTTCCGGTGGTTTGCCTCGACTTAGCGAATGTGAGAACATCACCCTAAGCGGTGTTGCCAGGATTGAAGCTGCTTCCCTCAGTATAGCAGAGTGGACCATATTTGGACCAGGAGAATTGTCTGTTCTTAGGTGCTGCAGTTTTCGGAGCACCAAGTCAGCGCTCAGGTTCACTACGGAAAGTCCTGTTCAGTTGTAGATTAAGCCGTCATCAGTATAGTTGATGTGGGTCGGTTGAAATGTCC